ACTCGCTTGAGCCCAGGAGTTGGAGGTTGCTGTGAGGAGTGAAGCCATAGTACTCTACCCAGGGGGATAGCTTGAGGCTCTGTCTCAAAAAAAAAAGTGGTGAAAATTTTACTGTTTATGAAAATGGGTCACTTGAGGCTACTGTCACCTTACTTGTATGCGTGCTCTAAGATCCCTTTTTGTGGCCTTGGCCATTATCTCCACTTCTGAGAGTCATTTTTGTAGAGCAAACATCAGTTCAGTTTTTGAAAACCTTCCTGAAATGCTTTTCTTGGCAGCCCACTCTGGTAATTTTGTTCCTCTTATTATGGAGAAGGGATCTCCTAGAATCATCTGCTCCTGTTTCTCCTTAGCCCTACCAAACAGGATAAACACAACTTTAAGAAATGATTGACATTTGTTGACTATTTCTCCCATATGAATTATGATTGGAAAAGCATGAGAAATATGTAAAGACACTGTAATATTCCTCACACAGATAGAATATCTTTATGAATAAGATTCAACACTGTCTTCACATTTGCAGGGGTTTTCTCTGTCATAAATTTCATATAGAGAACAATTTGAGCAGAAGTTAAACACTTGTCACATTCTTCACATTCTTGGCATGTCTGTTCAACATGAATTCTACCGTGTACAGAAAACTGCGATTACTGGCATAAAGCTTCCTCACACTGTCATACTGTGATTTTTCTCCAGTATAATCTATGTTTACTAAAAGACAATAATCAGTTAAAACCTTTGCCATATTATTCTCATTTGTAAGATTTCTCTCTAATATGAATTTTCTTACGTGTAGTAAAGTTTGAGCTCTGGATAAGTGCATCACCACACCATTCATGGTTACAGGATGTCTCTCCAGTGTAAGTTCTTATAAGCTTAGTAAGTTATGAACACCAAGTAAGGTACTGCCACATTCTTCATATTTCTAGGGTTTCCGTGTTGTCTTATTATTTTTTTTTTACACACTGGTTTGAACCTGAGTTAAAGGGTTTGCCACACTATTCATATTTTAATGTTTCTCTCCAGAATGAATTTTTTTTTTGTGTGTGTACACAAAGGTTTGAGTACTGGTTAAAGAATTTGCCACATTGTGGACATTCGTAGGGTTTCTACCCAGAATGAATTCTTTTATGTCTAGAAAGATTTGAGTAATAATTAAATGCTTTCCCACATACTAGGCATTTGTAGGGTTTTGCCCCAGAATGAATTCTTTTATGTACAGAGAGATGTGAGGAATTGTTAAAGGCTTTGCCACATTCTTCACATTTGTAGGGTTTCTCTCCAGAATGAATTCTTTTATGTACAGAAAGGGTTGAGTACTGGTTAAAGGCTTTTCCACATTCTTCACATTTGTATGGTTTTTCTCCAGAATGAATTCTTTTATGTACAGAAAGGCTTGTGGAATCATTATAAGCTCTGCCACATTCTTCACATTTGTAGGGTTTCTCCCCAGAATGAATTCTTTTATGTATAGAGTACTTTGAGGAATTGTTAAAGGATTTGCCACATTCTCCACATTTGTATGGTTTCTCTCCAGAATGAATTCTTTTATGTACAGAAAGGCTTGACAAATCGTTAAAGGCTTTGCCACATTCTTCACATTTGTAGGGTTTCTCCCCAGAATGAATTCTTTTATGTACAGAGAGCCTTGAGGAATTCTTAAAGTATTTGCCACATTCTTCACATTTGTTGGATTTCTCTCCAGAATGAATTATTTTATGCACAGAAAGATTTGAGTACTGGCTAAAGGCTTTTCCACATTCTTCACATTTGTAGGGTTTCTCCCCAGAATGAATTCTTTTATGTCGAGAAAGGTGTGAGGAGTAGTTAAAGGCTTTTCCACATTCTTCACATTCATATTGTTTTTCCCCGGAATGACTTCTTTTATGTACAGAGAGATGTGAGGAATTGTTAAAGCAGTGGCCACATTCTTCACATTTGTAGAGTTTCTCTCCAGAATGAATTCTTTGATCTACAAAAAGGTTTGAGTAATTGTTACAGGCTTTGGCACATTCTTTACATTTGTAGGGTCTCTCTGTATTATAAATTGTCTTATAGCTAAGACACTTGTCATCATTCTCACAATGGGAGATTTTCTCTGCAGTATGAAGTCCCCTGCACTTAGACAGTCTTAAGCGAGATTTAAAGACTTTGCAACATTCTTTACATTTGTACTTCTTTTCCACAAAATGGGTTATCTTATGTTTACCAAAGTTTGACCATAGATTTAAGGCTTTCCCATATTTTTTACACTCAAAAGTTATCTCCCTGGTATATATCATCTTGTGTTTATATACATTTGATAATTTTCTGACAACTTTGAAACCTTTACTGCATTGGTAGATTTTTACCATGCATAGCTGTTAAACTTTCGTCTAGTCCATTGTAACATACTTTCTGCTGCTTATACTCATACACCCTATCCCAGTCTTTTATTGAGTTTAAATTCTCAGGGCTATCATTTTCATATCTTCTCAGGATTATCTCTGGCAATAAAATATTCACGCCCAGCACTTGTGAATTGCTCTGGGTAGAATTATTAGCTATAACTGAGAGAAATTTAAAAACACAAAATTATGTCATTGAGTTTCATCACAATTGAATAAATATACATTATAAACTTTATCTTTAAAATTATGACAAGCACAGTAGCAATATGGCATAGTACAGGACACATGCCCTCATAATTTTTGAGATACCAAAAGTAAGAAATATATACTGCATTTTAGCGATTATAAAAGCAAGTGAGAATTTTCAGTCCACCAGGTGAGTACGATGTGAAGAAGTATATACAGGCTGGGTGCAGTTGTTCATGTTTGTAAACCTAGCACTCTGGGAGAATGAGTGAGTAGAATGCTTCAGCACAGGCATTTGAGAGCAATCTGAGCCAGAGTGTAACCCTGTTTATACCAAAAATAGAAAAAAATTGGTGGGGCATGTGGCAGACACCTACAGTCCCAGCAACTCAGGAAGCCGAGGTGAGAATATTTCTTGAGCCCAGGAGGTTGAGGTTGCTGTTAATTATAATACTATAGCACTCTATCTGTGGTGAAAGACACTCTGCCTCAAGAATATATAACTATACAAAATAAAATAAGAAAAAAAATGATAATGACAAAAGGTGGAAAAATGGGAAGAAAAGTTTATTCTACTTATAGACCACAGACATTCTCCCATCTGAAAACAGCACTGTCCATATGAAAGTAAACTTTTTCCTTAAAAGAAAAATAGAGACCTGCATTAACTCTACTGGCTTTTCAGGGCTTACTTTTATTTATTTATTTATTTTTGAGACAGAGCCTCAAGGTGTTGCCCTGGGTAGAGGGCCATGGAATCACAGCTCACAGCAACCTCTAACTCCTGGCCTCAAGTGATTTTCCTCCCTCCGCCTCCCAAGTAGCAGGGACTACAGGCGCCTGCCACAATGCCTGGCTATTTTTTGTTGCAGCCATCATTGTTGTTTGGCAGACCCAGACTGGATTCAAACCCGCCAGCTCAGGTGTATGTGGCTGGCGCCTTAGCCGCTTGAGCCATAGGCACCAAGCTTTCAGAGGTTTTCTAAAGATAGGTTATGTCTCGCATGAGAGAGAGTGCTGAAGGGAATGATACTATAGTTTATAAAACTGATTGGGGGAGCTGAAATCAAAGACAAAATATTGTGGCTCCACGCCTGTGGCTCAGGTAGTTTCTTCAACGTTGTTGTTTAGGTGGCCTAGGCTCGGTTTGAACCCGCCAGCCTTAATGTGTGTGTGGCCAGCACCGTAACCACTGGGCTACAGGCACCAAGCCCCACTGAGAATTCTGAAGTGATTATGTGGGCATCTCCAACTTCTCCCAGCCTTGATCTGGGACTAGTCCCACCCATCCAGAGACCTGAAGGGAGATGCTCACTCATGACAATGGAGACAGGCCTGAAAACCTTGGCACTTTTTGTGTGTATATATGTTTATATATCTATTTGTGTGTATATACACATATATACAGACACTAGAACCTCCAATTGACCACCTTCCTAAGTTCACCTAATGTACATAAAGTGGGCATGCACCGCATGTACGTATCAGTACACTAGGCCAAGTTCTTTATGCTAACCACCTATGTGTGTTGACAAGATTTTTATAATCCCTTGAGTGGTCAGCTTACCAAGGTCTACTGTGTTTCTGTGTGTGTGTGTGTGTGTGCGCACGCGCATAATGCAGTCCTGATAAGCATAACCTAAGCAAGAGATAGTTATAAAACCAGGGTTATTTATGACAGGAATGGTGGCCCATATCAGTAATCTTAATCACTTTAGGAGGCCAAGGCAGGGTGATCACTTGAGCTCAGGAATTTGAGACCAGCCTGAAAAAGATCAAAACCCCTTCTCTACTAAAAATAAAAAAACTAACCAGGCAGTGTGGCAGGTGCCTCTCATCCCACCTACTGGGGAGGCTGAAAAGAGAGGATCATTTGTACCCAAGAGTTTGATGTTGCTGTGATCTACAATGCCTCTGAATTCAACCCCAGGGTGATAGAATGAGAAACTGTCTCAGAAAAGATTTTAAGAGCTGCAACGAAAAAAATAGCTGGGCGTTGTGGCGGGTGTCTTTAGTCCCAGCTTCTTGGGAGACTAAAGCAAGAGAATCGCTTAAGCCCAAGAGTTGGAGGTTACTGTGAGCTGTGATACCACGGCACTCTACCCAGGGCAACAGCTTGAGGTTCTGTTTCCAAAAAAAAAAAAAAGTTGAGAAATCAGGCTCAGTGCCCGTAGCACAGTAGTTCAGGGGCTAGGATGCCAGCCACATATAGTAAGGCTGGCAGGTTCGAATCTAGACCTGGCCTACCAAACAACAATGACAACTACAATCTAAAAATAGATGGGCGGGGCAGCACCTAAGGCTCAGTGAGTAGGGCGCCAGCCCCATATACCCAGGGTGGCAGGTTCAAACCCGGCCCTGGCCAAACTGCAACAAAAAAATAGCTGGGCACTGTGGCGGTCACCTGTAGTCCCAGCTACTCGGGAGGCTAAGCCAAAAGAATCGCCTAAGACCAGGAGTGGGAGGTTGCTGTGAGCTGTGTGATGCCATGGCACTCTACTGAAGGCGATAAAGTGAGACTGTGTCTCTAAAAAAAAAAAATAGACAGGTGATGTGGCAGGTGCTATAGTCCCAGCTACCTGGGAGGCTGAGGCAAGAAAATCACTTAAGCCCAAGAGATTGAGGTTGCTGTGAGCTATGATATCGCACTCTACCACTCTACTGAGGGCAACAGCTAGAGACTCTGTCTCAGAAAAATAAAATAAAGTTGAGAAATTAGAGCATATACAAATTAACTGTTATATTAACTATCACAGTTCATATAAAGACAATGATGAAGTTAAATAACATGAGCTTTTTTATATATTTGGGGGAAGATTCTTAAGTGTTCTGATAAAATTTACTGGCTATACTTTGTGCAGAATCTTATTTGAAACCTTCATTGAGTCAAAAACTATAAAGCAGAAGACATATGCCATCTATCTGAAGTATCCTGAGATGTCTGACCCAAATATTAGTATTAACTGCTCACTCTCACATTTTGAACAGGACACTAAGGCAGCGGTTCTCAACCTGTGGGTCGCAACCGTTTTTAACAATGAAAATAAATCGCCGCATTAGGAAGGTTGAGAACCACTGTGCTAAAGAAAAAAGAAATTGTTTTGAGGCATAGTTTCATTCTGTTGCCCAGGTTAAAGGGCCATTGCATCAGCCTAACTCACAACAACCTCCAACTCCTAGTTTGAAGTAATCCTTCCGTCTCAGCCCCCCAGTAGCTGAGACTACGGGCAACCAACACACTACCTAGACATTGTTTTTTAATTTTAGTAGTGAAAGGATCTCATTCTTGTTCAGGCTTGCCTTATACTCCTGAAAACAAACGATCATCCCACCTCATCCTCTAAGAGTGCTAGGACTGTAGAAGTGAGCCACCATGCCTGCTTAAAGAAAAAAAATTTTTTTTGAGACAGAGGCTCAATCTGTCACCCTGGGTAGAGCACCAAGGCATCACAACTCTCACAGCAATCTCCAACTCCTGGGCTCAAGCGATTCTCCTGCCTCTGCCTCCCAAGTAGCTGGGACTATAGGCGCCAGCCACAACACCCGGCTATTTTTTGCTTGTACTTGCCATTGTTGTTTGGCAGGCACAGGTTGGATTCGAACACACCAGCACCTTAGCCGCTTGAGTCACAGGCACCGAGCCTAAAGAAAATTTTTTTAAAATGTTTCAGAGATCCTCAAAAATATACAAATATTTTTATATTCTAAAAATCAATCAAACAGCAGTCAGAGTTTGTAGTCCTGTATAAGCCATAGAAAGTTCTTCCTTTTCACTGTAAACTAGAAAGAACATCCCTGAAAACTAAACTCCTTCTAGAAATTAAAAAGAAAAGGCCAGGCACCTATAATTCCAGCACTCTGGAAGGGCAAGGCAGGTAGATTGCTTGAGCTCAACCAGTAGGAGTCCAGTCCAAGCAACAGCAAGACTACGTCTCTTAAAAAGAAAAACTACCTGATCATGGTGGCAGGCACCTGTAGTCCCAGATACTTGGGAGGCTGAAGCAAGAGGATTCCTTGAGCCCAAAAGTTTGAGGTTGCTATGAGCTATGACACCACGAAACTCTTCCCAGCATGACAAAGTGGGACTCTGTTTCAAACAAATCTAAAAAAATTACAAAGAAGAACAGGGCCAGGCATCATGGCATACACATGTAAACCGAGCACCTGAGAGGCCAAGGTGAGAGGATTCCTTGAATTTGTGAGTTTGAGATAAACAAGAGCAAGAGCAAGACTATAATTCTATAAAACACAGTAAAAACATTTGCCAGGCCTTGTGGAGAAACCTGTTCTCTCAGCTACTTGAAAGGCTGAGACCGAAAAATCACTTGAAACAAGATGGTTAAGATTGCTCTGTGCTACCTGATGCCATGGCACGCTAGTCTGATGGCAACACAGTGAGACTTTGTCTCAATGAGAAAATAAACATAAGAAATGAAAACAAGAACAGAGGTGCCTTTATGTAACAAGAAGAGAAAGAAACCCAGGCTTCCCAGAACTCATTTCAAATGAAGCTGAGCTTCCCTAATCACCTTGCATTGTTTGGTTTCCTCCTTCAACTTGGGACCTCTGACCAGTGTTATCTGCTTCATTCACTCCAACCTACCTGGGTGCTTGACCACTGTCTGGTGAGTCTTCACCTTCCAGGGTTCTTTCCTTTGCTCCAGACAGGTGATGAGGTCCGGCTTAGAGACAGCAAGCCCTGTTTCATTAGAAAACAAAAGATAACATGATGCTTGTTGGGCTTCACCAGTTAACAATCTAGTAACTTCGTAGAGCAGAAAACACAACATTTTAGAGATCCTAAAAGAATAATCTAAAAATAGAGGTTTCTGACAGAAACTTTGGAATATTTTAAAAGCATTTAAAATGCTCCACTACCCAGTACTATGGAAATAAAATTTGGTGCTAGAAACTAGACTTAAAGGTATGGGCAACAATTTCTAAGGTCTATATTTTTGAATTACTATCAATGAACCGAAGGATTAGCTCAAGAAAGGCTAAAATTAATGCCAAGATAACATCTGAAATATTTTCTTTTCTATACCAAGAACTTATGTTTTCCTTAGAAACAACAATTTGAAACTAAGACAGTCAAAGAAGAATCTACACACAACCCACCTACAAAGAAACAATATGAAATGCTTAGTGTACTGTAGGAACTGTGTATGCAAGTTATCCTCACCTAGGAAGACCAGATTTTTATAGGTCTCTAACATGACATCTCGATACAGATTGCGCTGAGCAGGGTCCAGGCAGGCCCACTCATCCACAGAGAATTCTATAGACACATCTCTGAATGTCAACAGTGCCTGAAAAAAAAATTAAAAAACTAAAAAGAACAATATTTATTATGATGCCAAGGGAAGACTTAATTTCATTTTTACATAAATGAATGGATCAGAACTTTCTTGACTTACATAACTGAATGGTATCATGTGATAAGTACAGCTGAGAGATATTCCTTCATGTGCTCTCTAACCCTGAGGAAAGATGATGAGATAACATCCACAATCCCAGTGTAGATACTATGGTTTTTTTAGGTTACAGTGCAAAAATAAAGCTACCAATATAGGCATGTGTATTTCTGTGCCTTACTTATATCATACACTATAAGCTGTGCATTTTTCTTTTCTTTTCTTTTTTTTTTTTTTTTGAGACAGAATCTCATGTTGTTGCTCTTGGTAGAGTGCCGTCACGTCACAGCTCATAGCAACCTCACACTCTTGGACTCAAGACATTCTCTTGATTCAGCCTCCCTTGTAGCTGGGACAACAGGTGCCCCCTACAATGCCCAACTTTTTTTGTTGTTGTATGTTTAGCATGCTCAGGCCAGGTTGTGACCTACCAACCAAGTGCATTTGGCCAGCGCCCTAACCACTGAACTACTACTTTAGGTAGTTAATGCCATCTTCTGTAAAAGTGCATGCACTTCATCTTTGCTTCTTTTTTCTTGATACAGTCTCACTTTGTCACCCTATGTAGAGTGCCATGCTGTCATACTTCACAATAACCTCACATTCTTGGGATCAAGAGATTCTCTTGCCTTAGCCTCCCCAGTAGCTGGGACTATAGGCACCTGCCACAACACCTGAGGATTATTTATAGACGGGTCATGCTGTTGCTCAGACTAGACTCAAACTGATCTCAGGCAATCCACCTGCTGTGGCCTCCCAGAGTGCTAGGATTGCAGGTGTAAGCCTCTACTCCTGGCCTCATGTACTTCACCTTATTCGACATAGAACTGATGGAGCTTCCAGATGGAGCTTCCAGCTTACCTAAATAGCATGTATTCCCCTTCTTTCCTAAAATCTAATGCAGACTTATCCATAATGGCAATCTTAGGTATTCACATTTTCCCATTTTATATAGGCACAAGGAAAACGTTTTCAGTATTATAATACATAATATATATATGTATGTGTGTGTGTGTATATATATATATATATATATTTTTTTTTTTTGAGTTAGAACATAAATTTATAGTTTAAATTTTTCAGGGGACATGAGAAGCCTGGCTGGCTGGAGACAATGGAAATAAAACTATGCTATACAGGTAAGGGAAGAGAAGTTTTCAGAGTCTCTTGAGTATTGTAATAATAGGGCAAAAGAATATTTGAAACTCATTAGGCAAGAACATCACAAGTAGAGAAGCAAAGGTTTGCAAGTTCTAAATACGCAACACTGCAGGAGAAGAAGTGGGCACAGCCCTGGACCTGGGACACATTTACCTGAGAAGCAATCATTGCTTTCTCTTTTCCTCTTTTTCATTTCCTTCTCAGGTGAGATTATCTGGATACATTACAGCTGCACCTGTACAGTATGCCTTTAAAGACATCAGTTTGACACCTTCACCTGCTACCACAATATCCAAAGGCAGAAGGATGATAGAGTATAGAAAAATATTGACCCTTTCCTGTTTTTTATCAATGGAGACAGTCAGGAACAAGAAGGTTCTGAATATAGTGCAAAGTGTAAGTTTATTATTTCTTGACATTGGGTACCCTAGCCTGCAGTAATTTCTACTATGGCAATGGGAATATGGGTCATGCTATCTTACGCACATTAAACCTAAGATAAGCAGGCCCTGTGACCTCCTTATGGAAGAAAGACTAAACTTTCATAAATACATCTGGGTGCTTGGTGCCCATAGCGCAATGTTATGATGTCAGCCACATACACCAAGGGTAGCGGGTTTGAACCCGGCTCGAGCCTGTTAAACAACAATGACAACTGCAATAAAAAAAAATAGCCGGGCATTGTGGTGGGTACCTGAAGTCCCAGCTACTTGGGAGGCTGAGGCAAGAGAATCGCTTAAGCCCAGAGTTTGAGGTTGCTGTGAGCTGTGACGCATGGCACCCTACCAAGGGCAACATAGTAAGACTCTGTCTCAAAAAATAAAGAAAGAAATGAATGAATAAATAAATAAATAAATGTATCTGGAAGTCTTCATGCTTGACACTACCCTAACCTAAGCATCACATGGAGACAATTAAAACCACATAGATTACACAACAGAGACTACTACAATCTTTGGGAAGGCAGAATCATTGTTAATGGGACTTCATAAACTTGGCCGTGGAACCCTAACAGGAAGCCTGAGCAGAGAACCACTTAGCTAAGCATTGCCTCTTAGGCTTTACTATACACACAAGTCATTTGGTATTCTTGGCCACTCTAAGTATGTGATCCTGCAAGAGCAGAAGTTATTCTGTCTTGAGGCCAGTAACCACTTTTTTTATTATGGCTATGTATGTCTTTGCTTATGAATTTCTGTACATTGAGTACACCTAAGGATCTATTTTCTCATTTTTCTTTTTGGGTTATTAACTGTAGAACTAAGATTGCAGAATTCCCCATGAAGGAAAATACTGAGCAGTGAGCCACCATTTCTGTTGTGGTCTAGCTGATGTCAGCCAGACAGCCAGATGGCAAAAAACCATTGCAACAAGACAGGCTGACCTACACATACAAAGCTCCTACACATAGTTCTCCCTAGTTCCTTACCCCTTTCACCACCTTTTGCTCAGCTAAGGAACATGAGGTGGTCCTTACAACATTAGTCTGCCATCTCCTCATGTTACTGTTTTTTTTGGTTCTTTTTGAGACAGTCTCACTATGTCGCCCTCAGTAGAGTGCTGTAGCGTCACAGCTGACAGCAACCTCAAACTCTTGGGCTTAAATGATTCTCTAGCCTCAACTTCCCAAGTACCTGAGACTACAAGCACCCGACACAACTTCCAGCTATATTTTCTGTTGTTGTTGTTGCAGTTGTCATTGTTGTTCAGCTGGCCCAGGCCAGGTACAAACCCACCAGCCTTGGTGCATGTAGCCAGTGTCAGACTCACTGAGCTATAAGACGCTGCCAATTTCACAGGTTTTAAGTGGGTCTATAAAGTGGCTTAACAATTTCATGTATTCCTCCTCCTAGACTAGAGCAGCACTCAGCTGGTGAAAGCAAACCCAGCACAGAGTCCCTTCTGCTCAACACTTTTTTTTTTTTTTTTTTGGCTGGGGCTGGGTTTGAACCCACCTCTTCCAGCATATGGGGCCAGCGCCCTACCCTTTGAGCCACAGGTGCCGCCCTCAACACTTTAACAACACAAATACCTTTGGTTCAAGGCAGACCAAAAATCACAATCTTTAAACTTAGCATTGTCTGCTGGCCCCTCAAAGGTTCCAGAGGTTAGAGAAGGCAGCCGTGTCTGAGGCAGGACCTGGATTCAGAATTTGGAACTTCTTGGAAACATGGTTATGTGCCCTCTGCACATTCATGGGAATTAGGGAAAAAGAAAAGTGAGAAAGTAGAAGAGTCTCAGGTGTACTCAATATACATCTGTGATTAAAGTTGACTTCCTGGGCCCCATAGCCTCTCGGTCAGTTTTAGGTCTAAAGATATTAGGATAATTGAAAGACAGAGATAAAATGGCTGATTGTGGCCCTACAAAGATATTTCTGTAGAAATCTACAAATTGTCCTCAAAGTCATCCCTAAAGTCACCATACATAGGGAATATGGGAAAAGGAAGCTCAATGGACCTTTACAAAATATATATTTTTTGAGGCAGAGTCTCATTATGTCACCCTTGATAGAATGCCAGGGCGTCACAGCTCACAGCAACCTCAAACTCTTGGGCTTAA